AACAACTTGGTAAAATGTCAAAACTTTTGGTTGACGTTTATTTTTGCACACTAAATAAAAAAAGGTTTTACAATCACTTCCTCCGAATACAATTTCTTTTTATTTCTTCCCACCAAAAAATTTCACAAAAGGCTTTCAAAAATGAAAAAATTTAACCAATAAATTTTTATTATTTCTGTGATAAAATGCAAAAAAACATCCCTTAAGAAAAATTTTCAATTAATTACAAAATCTTAGTTAAACTCTCAAAAATTGTTAAGCGCAAAGTTGATATTGAAAATCACAGGAGTTAGTCCACAAATACAGAACAAAACAATAAAACGACCCACCTGGACGAGAATTGCCATGTTCTTGTCATCCAGACTCTTGCCGATTTCTCTGAAAATCAGCTTGAACAAGTTCGACAGCTCATTCTTGTCGATTTTCCCACTCTTATCGACATCAACCTGGTCGAAGATCTTGGAAACAACTGCGGGATCTGGACACTGGCAGGCCATTTTATGTAAGCTCCTACTCTGTGAAAAATTTGATTGATATATTTTCAGGCGTCAAATAAATTTTTTAATTGTACAAAATAATTTTTTTGATTTTTTTTATCAACTCATTCTTAAAATTTTTCAGTTATATAACAATTACAGTTATATGTTAATAAAGACAATACGAAAGATTTTGATGTTTTTTATTTTTAATTATTCTCGAAAAAAGAAAGATTTTTATATTTAGTTTCAGAAATGAAACCAACCTTATGAAGAAAACCTGAAAAAATTGACTGTAGAAGCAATCGCAAAGTGAGGCTGTAGTTAGGAGTGAGCTGGGTATAAGTACATAGGTGGACCGCTGTAAGCTTGCATCCGAGCAAAAAATGTTTGCTCGTAAGTTCAGGTGTGTTTGCAAATATTTACTTTGTATGCCTCACACTTCGGTGCGAACTTAAGTTTGAGTGCATGTTCGTGTTCATACTCTTCATTAGGCTTGCATGTGTTGGGCTGTTTGGTAGGCTTGCTATATTGTTGTGTTGTCTATTGGCACGTTATTCGTGAACGCTTTTTATGATTTTCAAACAATTTCATTTAATAATCAAACTTAATACTGGAGTGAAATACCAGTCCAGTTTGATTAGAAATAAATTAAAAGGAGCTATAATGAATCAAAATGAGCCATAATGATTTTTTAATTGTCTTTTTTATGTTTATCCAATGTTAATTCGATTGGTTATTTGTTTGAAGTTTCAAATTTGTATAAAGACAATTATAATCAGTTACAAATGTATCAATTTGAAGATATTACAAAATATAATAAAGCACTTAACTTGTCCTATTTGGAGTTGACCAAAAAGTATTTGACCTACTTTTAATACGGAACCTACAACATACAATAAACTAACAAAATAGACAATGCTAAACAGGCAAGAACATTTTATAAAGATGTTACCAAATAATCCAATGCATTTTGAAATTTTATAAATTGATTAATATACTATAATATATTAATAACAGATATTTTGTTTTTTCAAAATTTTTTGGCTGATGTGTAAAAAATTTATTGCAAACACAAATCATTTTCGTTATTTCGTTTATGGGTTCATTTAAATGATATTTTTTCTAAAAAGATCTGCTGAAAAATTCCAAAAGGTTTCAACTGTTCACTGCCTCTTCATGAACTCGATGAATTCCTTCTTGTCAATCATTCCATCCTTGCCATTGTCAAGCTCCAATATCGCGTTCTGTAATTTCAATTATTAATATTATTATTGTTATCATTATTATTAGTATTGGTTGTAATGGTGGTGGTGCTAGTGGTAAAAAATTATCAGTGATAGAATTCTATAATCCTTTTAAAATTAAAAGTTGAATTTAATGTAACCATCAACGTAAAAGACTCCTAATTTTATTTTTTATAAACCATTCTGACAATATTATTATTTTTTTTTAGTTATTAAATGAACTGTTATTACTGAAAATAAAATTATGAAATTTATGGGCAATTATAAACGTCAACTAAACAAATTTCATCCCGACGAGTCAACCTGCGTGGCAGCTTCCAACATCTTCTCATCCAGGTCACCCGACTGATCCATAAGCAGTTTGAAGATTTTGAACAATTCATTCTTGTCCAGTTTGCCGCTTTTATCTACATCCAACTCGTCAAAAGCTTTTGAAATCAGTTCAGGGTTATGACAGAAGTGCTCCATTTCTTCCGACTTGACCTTTCAAACTTTCCTACAGCACTCTCTGAAATTTGTTATTCACATGTCATTGGCGGTAACTAAGTTTATGAATGACAAATTTTTTAAACCTATTTCTCTATTGCTGTATTACTTCTCTATTATTTCCTACTAAAGCAATTGAATTGTAAAATATATTTACCAACTAAAAATTAAAAAAATACATTCGGGCCTACCGCCGAAATTGCTATGATTCATTTAAAAAACAGAAGCAACTTGAATCCGTCAATTGAGCGTAATACATAGAGGTAGGCGGTTCGTTGCTAACTTGGCTGGAATGTAAACAATGGATATGCGTGACGCGCGCGTATGTATGTGCGTGTGTATGTGCGTGTGTATGTGCGTATATGTATATATATATATATATATATATATATATATATATATATATATATATATATATATATATGTGTGTGTGTGTGTGTTTATCTGCGTATATGTGTATATATATATTTGTGTGTGTGTGTGTGTGTGTATGTGTTTGATCGTTTTTGTTGCATTGACTAGTGAGTATCAGTGAGTGCGAAGCTTGTATTTGTATGCATAGATATGCTTGTTTGTTAAACATACAGGCATTTGATGTTATTGTAATGAAACTAATATTGCATGGAGCGTGTTTAATTTTATTGGTTAAAAAACACCATTCAATGTTTAAAACTTTAGTTTTTTGAGAAGGAAACAATATTTGCTACCCTTAAAGTTTAAATGACATATTTAAACATCATTGAACATGAAAAGATATAAGAAGATAATAAATTCTCTCAAATTTTTCCCTTCTAAAAATATTTTAAAAATCTGAATGTATTTGAATTCTCAATAATTTTTGTTACAAAATTACATTACATCATTTGAAATATGATTTTAATTGCGAAATTTAAATTAAAAAATGTTGTTTATTTGAATTTGGCATTATTTCATTATAATGAAACAGTATTGTAACGTTTATTACAAAATTGTATGTAAGGGACAGCAAATTGTCGTTCCAGTGTCGCTTCATTTTCATTCAATGTTTCATCATGAACTCAGTGAACTCGTTCTTGTCTATCATACCATCGCCTGTTTTGTCGAGTTCTTGCATCGCTTCCTGTTTAATTATTCGTTTGTATGTTTGTTTGTTTGCATGTTTGTATGTATGTATGTTTGTTTGTCTCTTTGTTTATATGTATGTATGTTTGTTTATTTATTTATTCTGTTTGTTGGTTTGTTTGTTTGTTTGCATGTTTGTATGTATGTATGTATGTTTGTTTGTTTGTCTCTTTGTTTATATGTATGTTTGTTTATTTATTTATTCATATTATTTGGTCATGTTTATTGTAAGCGAAAATTATTATCATTATTATTAAAATTCACCCTACAACAGTTCTCTGCAGAATAATGGAAAAATTGCAACAAAATTCCAGAATCAACTCAGCAGACTGAGGCAAACAAGTCAATCAATACAATTTTCAAATATCTTTGAAAATAATAAACAGACAAAGAATTAAACAAATCAAATGAGAGAGAGAGAAGAACAAATATCATTTATAAAACAAAACTTTTCCTTATTTTTTCACTTATTTAATTTATTTAAAATTGCATATTAGCGATTTAATAAAATTAATTAGAAACCCCACCTGAGTGATATCATCAAGGAGCTTGTCGCAAGCGTCCTTGCCGAACTCCTTGAGGATCATCTTCACGAGGTTCTTCAGCTCGCTCTTGTCAATCTTGCCACTCCTGTCAACATCAATCTTGTCGAATTCTTTCGAGATGACCTCTGGGTCGTGGTAGTGGCTAGCCATGTTTCTAGATACTTTATTTCTGCTTCATTGTGAAAAAATAAACCAACCGATATTTTTTTTTAATATTATTTAAGAGATTTTGAATGAAAAAATTATCTATAAGGATTTATTTTTATAACAAACTCAACCTTTTCAAGAAACCTGATACCGTTTAACTCGACAAAATAAGAGCGAATTGTCTTGCCAGAAAATTATTTGCGTATATGTATGTGCACATTTTGCTGAATGTTACGTGCTTACTGTATACGCGTTCGTGAGTTTACGTGCGAGTGTGTGTTGATGTTCGTGTGATTGTATGTGCGTGTCTTGTTTTTAAGTTGTTGTTGTTGCATGTGTCACGAATCGATTTGTGATGAGTAGATTGTGTTTACCTGTTTAAAGATGCCTCCGCAATTGCTGACGACTGTGAGCTATGCGTCATATTCTAAACATTTTAAGATTTGCTTCAAAATATTAATTTTAGCAACATTTTAACTAAAAACTCTTCTCTGTCAAATGCATCTCATGGTTTTATTTTTTTCTATCACCTCTTTGTTTCCAACAGTTTATTTGTTCTAGTAATTTCATTTTTTAATTTCATTCATACGCCAGCAAAGTTTTTCACCCAAGCAATTTACAAATGATGGTTCTAGAACAAATGCATATTTTTGAAGTTTTTTGAACCCAGAAAATTTAATTTTTTTGTTTTTGAACAGTGCTTATATTCATTTTTGGACGATTGATTTTTTGAGATATTAAACAGTATTGTTTATTTTGATAACTGACCCTTCATAAATAGAACTGAATGTTTTAACGCAACAAATAATTAGCAACTAACATTTTTATTTGAAAGATGAAAAATGTTAATTTCACATGATCAGATAAAGTTGATAGTTTATTTTAGAGATTGTTATTAAAATATTTCTAATTTTCCTTCAAAATTAAAAAGTTTGTTTATTTCCAAATCACTTTTTTATTCAATTGACATCGGCGTCATTTCTTTTGGAGATTTCTTTTCAATGTCTGTTCATGAACTCCATGAACTCAGCCTTATCTATCATTCCATCACCACTTCTGTCCAGCTCTTCAATGGCTTTCTGTAAATTTTTGTAAATTGTTTGGCTGAGTCAACTTTATTCATTTGTGGTTAGTTTTGGGGGCTTGTTGTGTGAGCATTGAAATCTCAAAAAAAATTATATAGATTGTAGTTTATTTTCTAAAAAATTTTCGTTCCCATTCAATTTCTATTTAAATTTAAAATTTTTTAATAATTATATGTTCTTATTTTTAATGTCATTTTAAAAGTATCTTTTAAAAATTCCAACAAATCATCACATCACCTGTGCTTCAGCTTGCAGGACGCCATCGTCGACAACCTGGCCTGCATGCTCGCACAGAAGTTTGAAGACTTTGAACAGCTCCTTCTTGTCGATCTTTCCACTTTTGTCGGCATCCAGTTCGTCGAACACTTGCGAAACAACTGCTGGGTCGTGGCAGTGGCAAGACATTCCCAAATATCTGCTGCTTGTTCGTCCGTCTGTCTGTTGTTTAGTGATTTGTTTGTAAATTCAAGTTTATTTATAAGTTACTATTCGATGGAGAGTTGAACTTTTTTAAAAAAAATGAAATCAGTAAATCTTATACGTGTGGCTCTTTAGAAACGTAACCTTTCTGAAAAGTTTGAAATAAAAAAAAATGATATAATAATGAATTTCAAATATAACCTTTAAAATCTACAAAAAGTTTGCTACTGTGACAAATGACAAAGCAAAACTGACGTAACTAGATAAAAGCAAGTATAAATATATATGTTGGAAGTTTTTTAAGGATTTTTACATGCGAGTGTGTACATGTGTTTGCCTGTGTTTACGTGTACGTGTGCCTGACGTTGCATGTGTGTAAAAGCGTTTGTACAAATTTTCCTTTGTTTCTCTGTCTTGTGTCTGTCACATATCGATCGGAGCTTGGTAGTTATTGTAACAATAACTTGTTTGTAGTGGCTTCCATAGTTACCTCCTCTTTTGTCGTCCTTCCTGCTTGCTCGCCACTCCCTCTTGTCTGGCTTTATTCCATTAGTGACATGCGAGCTGTGTCAAACGAATGAACTGTGTTATGAATGAGATGGTCTTGTTTATTTTAATTTATGATTCAAAGTTCATCTTATTGTCGCAAAAATGACCTTCAATCTAGTTATTTTTTCATTCCAAATATAATTTATTGTTTTTGCAAGGTATAATTTTTAAATCAAATGATTAATGCTAGTTGGACACGTTCAAACATCACACACACAAAACCACCGATAAACTTTAAAGCAACACCTGAACTTGTGCCATGTCATTCATTCATTCGTTCATTCATTCATTCATTCGTTCATAACCACGCATCAACAAAATCCAAAAAATGCAATAAGACATTCATTTATCAGTTTTTATCTTAATCCTTCCAAATTTGCATCTTTAAATTTGCATTTTCTCTAAAATATTGACTCTGTGTGTGTGTCTGTATGTGCGTCAGGCGTGCGTGCGTTTGTGTGTGTATGTGTGTGTGTATGTGTATGTGTATGTGTGTGTGTGTGTGTGTGTGTGTGTGTGTGTGTGTGTGTGTGTGTGTGATTGTGTGTGTGTGATAATGGGTGTGTTCGACAAGTTGTTAACGTTTGCATGATAAAAAGACGAATTAACATCTGATGAGTTATGAGTTGTGTCAAGCGTTAATAAAACCTGATCTCCAGTTAACCAAAATATTTTCATAAAAAATTGAATCGTTGGTTATTTTTAACAATGTTAAAGAAACATAGATGGCGATGTATTTCAGCTAATTAAATTCAGGATGATTTTGCGGATAAAATTCGCAATAGAGTTACATAAATGAGATTATTTGTATTGAAAAACTCGCTCAATAATAATCAACGTTGTACATTGGACATCGTACAATCCCAAAAAAATCCGTTATAAATGGCTGCTGTATTTCATAAATTCTCACGTTGTTCTAATATGTTTGCATATTTCACTATTTTTTGCCATGAGATAGTACTGCACATAAACGCTATTTTTTTAATGAATTTTATTATTTAAGTAATAAATTTATTAATTATTAATAAAGAAACTATTCTCATGTTTGCTCATATGAGTTGGCTGAAGAAGACTTAATCAATGAATAAACAATAATATATAGGTGCATTCATATCTTTTTAAATATTCAGACAGGAATAATTTATTTGAAATGTGTGCGTGTGTTTGTATGCTGGTTACCTGGACACGAACTGTAAAAAAATATTGACACATGACTGTTTCATTGTCTGCTGCATACGAGTGGTGATGATGAGTATGAAGATGATGATGAATGATGATGATGTTGATGGTGAATGATGATGATGATGATGATGATGATGATGAATGATGGTGATGTTGATGGCGAATGATGAGTATGAGGATGATGATGATTTGAAAATTATAAACAATCTATGTTGTTTGGAGCAGGCATGTATTAACGTGCAAAGCTTCAGGAGGACTGAACAACACGTATGACGATCGATCAATAAAGCACAAGAAAAAACATACAAGAACAAACATGAACGAATGCTAACATATAAACATGAGATAAACACAATAACATCAACAACAATAACATAAACAACAACAATAACAATTGATACTTTGAAAACAAAAATAACAACAATAACAATTTCGACAAAATGGCATTGAATGCAATCACATTGTAGGTTAATTTCAACCATGATTAGCAATTATAACAAAGTTAAACAACAACAACAACAATAATATTAACCATAATAATTAATACTTTGATTACCAATTTTACTACGTAATATTAAAAATGATTATATAATTAAATAATTGATTAATAATATTATTAATATCACTGTTATTTTTATTATTATTACTACTGCTGTTGCTGCTACTACTACTCCTACTACTACTACTACTAAAAATAGTTGTTATAAATAAAAATTGCAAGAATATTAAGAAAAATCAATATGAGTCATCCTCAAAGCCACCTGCCACAGATCGAACAAAGTTGCAAATATTTTCAATGAAACATTCATCATCATTATCATCGTCGTCGTCGTTTTCATCTTCTTCATTAACATCATAATCATCATTGTATAGTCTTTTCCTTCGTCATCATCATCATCATTGTATAGTCTTTTCCTTCGTCATCATCATCATCATCACCATCGCCATCATCCTCATCATCATCCTCATCATCATTCTCATCATCATCATCCATCATCATCATCATCCTTATCATCACCATCATCATCATTATCATAAACAACATCATCATCATTATCAACATCATAATCATCACCACCACCACCATCACCACCATCATCATCATTTTTGTAATTATTTCGTTTTTAATTATTTTTAATAAAGTAAATAATTAATATTATACGTCCCATGTACCTGTCAATTTATTTTATATGGTGGTCATTCATCGATTTTAAATAGAATTTTTGGCACATGTAAACATATTTCTACATACACATACATACATGTAATTTTAAGTTTTGTTATTAATATAAGTTATAATTTGATAGCGCCTGTGAAAACTGCTATAACGAACGCTATATTAAGTTTTTTTTAATAATAATAATAATAATACATATGTACAAATTGAAAGAGAGAGGGAGAGAGAGAGAGAGAGGGAGAGGGAGAATGTTCATAAGTGAATGAAATTGTTCTCTTTATATTGAATTGTAGATCTAGTACGGCAAAAAATTATCAATGTGGAAGATGACGATGCTTCATCAGCATGTCAGTATTAAACTCAATGAATTCTGAATGTTAACGACAAAGACGACGAAGACGACGACGACGATGATGATAAGGATGATGATGAAGTGAAACAAGTGAACGATAACCCAAAATGTAAATAAAACTGTAATAATAAAATGATAACAAAGCTGCTTTCATTGGGAGTGATGTGATAATGAGATTTAATCAGTCATATTAACTACAACAAAGCTAAATATATATAGATATACTCACAGATAATAGTTGCGAATAACTTACCTCCATTCTTAAATTACGATGACGTTTTTCACAGTAACAAAAACAAAAACAGTTTTAAGAATAATTTTTCTACCATCGCAAAAATTAAACATCCAAAACAGAAACCACATCAGACCGAATGTTTAAGTAACATTTGACATTTGGAGGAATCATAAAAGGTTCTGAAATATTTTAAATACAAACCCATTGCTAACGTTTTGACGGCCATCAGTTTAAAATAACTGATGGACATTATTAGTTATTTTATTACAAGTTAACCATTAAGAATTTTCATGGAGTTTTATTTCTCCTTCTCAAATCGTCAATGTCAAGATCAGTATGTTTAAAGCTGCATCATAGCCAAAAATTTTCTCAGCGAGGGCTTACAGTTAAATTTGTTAAAAATAACTTTGTGGCCTTTTCTGGCTAATCACTCAACTTTTAACAGATTTCGCTTTTTCAAACCGCTGAGTTTCTGCTAAATTTACATTAATTTCATTTGTGTGTGGTGGCTGAAATATTAGTTCACAGTCAAAATTTGTACAAAATTTTTTTCAGACTTATGCTTAAATTACTTATACAACAACCAAATAAAACATTTGAAGTGTACTGATTTATATTTCAACAGATTCAAAACTGCAGTATAAAGATCTTTGATAATCGTAGACATTACCTAATAAAAGTGAACAAACAGCCCTTCAATAATCATGTCCGTGTTTGCGTTCAAGCAATTTGTACCGCGGGTACCTTCAAGTTTGGTGTTGCACATGTACGAAGAAATATTTTATAGGGCGGTGCTGGAGGTTGACAGGGAGACGAACCCAGCCAGCATATTGGTGGAAGCTGTCACAACGCAGAAAGATAACACCAACCCCGAAGGCATCTCCCATTCCATAAGGTTCACTCTTTTGTTCTCCCCTATCCTGATGTTTTATTGGTTTTGTTGGTCCATTCGTTACTCTGCTGTGTGCTCTATTGACGTCTTCTTTCTCAGGATGTTTGGTATTGGCCAAAATTTCCGACTGCAGAATGATGAACATGCTTATTAATACACACAATAATCTTCCGATTGGAGTGCACAACGTCATACACTGGAGTACGCTAACCTTAAACTACACTGGCGTTCATAATAATGAACAAAATCATTTACTACATGCAATAAAAAAAGCGATTAAATCGAATCACACGCAGGCGCACACACACGCACAAACATCAATTACACATATTTCTATTCACTGAAAATCACACAGACTCTACCTCCGCGGGCCCTTGAGGCAAAAAAATTTTTATGTATACGGTGGATCTGCCATACTTACGGCACCTTGCAGCTTCGAGTTCAGCTACAGGGCAAAAAAGTATAAAGATGCCGAATACACACTTCCTCCCACACAACCTGCAACCAAGGGCTCGGCTAAGGTCATGCCTTTTGATCCCGATTATGTGAGTGTAGTAGTGTGCTTATTATGTTGTTTCGAAAATATCTTGAAAATTTTTAATGCTCTCAACAATGTTTAAAATTTTAAGATTTGACAGTTCCATTATTTTTCATTTGGATTTTAATTATACACTAGAATAATACAGAACGAATCGTGCGGAAAAAATATACAACATAAATAAATATGAAATTTTTAATAAAAATAACTAAGTATAAAACTAAACTGGCATTCAACAAATTTTTTACATACGAAAAACGGTACATGAGAACTGGTAATAAATAAGATAATTTTATTCGCAAGATGGCAGCGTCTCTCAAGAAGCAGCCTAATTTTTCTAAAATATGTGAAAACTTGTATATCGGAGACCAGATGGCCATGGAACAAATTCCCATTCTGGACTTCACGCACATCCTCTGCGTTGACAAGGACATGCCTCATTTCAATTGGATGGATACTGTGAAGGTTCACGTCAGCCGAACGTTTTTCGTACCGTCGCTTAAAAGTTTGTGAAACTTTTAAAATACTCGTTTAAAGGTTAATAACTGGGTCATGTATAATTTTTCATTTATATCTAATACAACTTTCACGTAAAGAATTAGAAGATTATTTTATGCATCTATCTATTAATTTTAATTGTCAACCAATAATTTAAATCTACTAAAAAATTTTAGTAAATGGTGTAACTTATCAGCAGATCATTTTCAAAAGAATGAATGAATCAGAAAACTGAAATTTATATAATCGATTTTGTTGCTATAAATAAATTTATCACGAACTGTTATCATTAACTCTCACAAAAAATTTTTAACAATTTTGCCCTCCAACATATTTTCTGTATTGCAGAACTTACCAAAGGCTCTCATGAGGACAATCTGAGAACGAAAAGCGAATCTCACATCTACAGTCAACAGAACATAAACAAAAACCAAAATGAGGAGGAAGAAACCGATGAGCACAGTCAAATGAGGAAAAATTTACAAATTGACAAACGAAGAAGAATGTCCAAAATGCCCAAATACCCAATTGCTGCTCACCTCAAAAAAACGCACAGCGAGAAGTCGCAGAACAAAGTTGTCAAACGTGCCGACAGCAGTCAGAACGATTTTTTCAACGAACACTCAATATTCAGCGAAGAAGCAAAAGATAAAACCGCTACGTCTAGGAAGGGAAAAGCTAGTAAGAAAGCAAGTAAGCGAGGAAGTGGTACAAGATCTTCTTTGAAAATGAAACTAACAACTCTTCCAAAAAAATCTGATAATTCTTTGAGTGAGTCCATAAACGACGTTGAAAGTTCTAATTCTTTGAGCAGGCCACAATCATTTTTAAAAAAACTAAACTTTTCTGCTGAGAATGACAACTTGGCCTCAAAGTTTTCAGCTTCAAGTAGAAGAGAAAATAAAGGAATTTATTACCAAACGCTTTTGTTTCAAGGTGGTCCAGAAGGCCCTTTAGAAGAAGATATTTTGAAAGACGCTGTGCGTTGGTTGAAATTGTATTGCACTCCCGATAATAAAGTTTTAGTGGCAAGTTGTCATGGTTTTCGAAAAGCAGGTGCTGTTGTTTTGGCATTCTTGTTTGCCCACAACCTTTCAAAATCTTTTGACGAATGCTTCCACATGTTGAACTGCAGGAGGCCAGTTATGATGTCTGTTAATTTAAAGACAAAATTGGAAAAAATGTACCCCAGAAAAATAAATTGAGTTGAATATGGAAATAGATTCTGATTACTTAACTTTTGGTTATAACGAAGAGAAGATTATTTTACATAAAGTTTTTTATCGACTAGTGAGCAAATGTTTCAGCTATGTAGGAAAAAGTTAAAAAAACTGAAAACTAGAGACGAAAATCATCTGTAGCGCTAAAAAAACAGTTAGACAAAAGCCTAAAATTTTTCCATAATGTCAAATCGAAAGATAATTCGCTGCAAATATCTCTACTTAAGAACTGAGAAAAGTACGTTGCAATTTTCATATTTTTCATGTGTTTTCATGAAATAAACTTGTTTAAAAAAAAAATGTTGCAATTTTCAACATTTTTGTATTTTTGGAAGATCATTCTTAAAAAATTACTGTTTGTGAACTAACTCACCGTTAAAAAATTTGCTAATTACAAAAATCGATGAAATTATTGATTGAATAACTTGAATTGATTTGTATTTGATTACCATTGGGCTTAAACCAACCATATTTAACTTTTAGCTTTTTAATTATTCGATTTGCCAAAACCAAACTGAAATTAGCAACCCTATTTTTCGACAAACGTTTAATTACGAAAGATATTTTTTATTATCAAATATATTGTGTTGTCTTCTTCACAAAATGTTAAATGAAAATAAATAAATAAAACTGACAAAAATGTTTTTGGCACTAAAATGTAAAGAAATGTAACCAAATTTATGTCAAATCGCGCGGTGCGGAGAACGATGACCACTGATGAACATTGAAAACTGATGAACAATTAAAACTGATGAACATTGGTGGGATGATGACGTTGATGAAAATAATTAAGACAATGTATAAGGTAAGGTCTAATATTTTTAAAGGACTAGTTTAACAAACGTTTGAATACAGTTTTATTACATTTTTTACATAAATTTTTTAAAGTTTTTTAAAAAAGTTTTATTTAAGTGTCTTTTTCGTAGGTCGTGGTGATTTATTTCTAGCTTTGATGGCTTTTAGAATTGAAATGGTGTCCGATTGTGATTGATTTTGAGTTTGTTGATCTTGCAGCTGCTGTTGTTGATGCTGCTGCTGTAGGTGGTAGCGACGACTTATTGGGCTGTTTTGTAAACGCTTCTTTAAGTTTGCGCTGAACGATCGATCGATGTCTCTTGCAAACGGTGATTTTGAGACAAATTGTTGTGGTTCTTGTGCCAGATCTGGTTGCTGCTGCTGAGTAACGCTCGGCGCTGCAGACTTTAAAATACTTTTCAATAAAACCGGATCAATTTCTTCGCCACTTTCAGACTGCAATGAGTCCGAAAGCTCAAAAAAATTTGGGTTGTTTGTTTCTAAATTTTTGCAGTCGTTGCCTTTAGTTAGCGTTGTATTGTTTGCTGTTGGGTTAAAACTTGTCGAAATTTCACCAGCATTGCATAAAGAAAAGTTATTCGCTGCTGAAAAGTTTGTAGTAGATGGATTAGTGGTGATATTTGATGCTTTTCGACATTTTAAAGTTCTCTTTGCAACGTTCTGTTGGGACAGGCCGTTGTTGTTTACTGTTCCTAATTTATTTGATCGTTCCAGGTTGGGCGAATTGTTGTTGCTACTGCTTTCGCTGTTGCTGTTAACTGCTTGGCTGTTATAATTAGTCCGCTTTGTTGCTTTGTTGTTGTAGTTGATTGGTTTGTTAGTATTTAAACTGATGTTCGCACTGTAACGCTGTCTCCTCGCCAACACACTTTCATTTCCAGAACTTACGAGTTGTTTGGCAGCATTGAAAATTTGATTGTTGGTATTACTATTATAATTATTACCATTGTTGGCATTGTTGTTTGATAAGTTGTTTTCATTTGTTTTCTTGCCGTTGGTCAAACTGTGAATAGTTTCCACGCTGGTCGTTGTCGAACTGTTGGTTGTGGCAAATGAGGATGACGTCAAAGAAGATAGGACGCTAGCGGGAGGAGCAGACGTTGTTTTCAAATCTTTAAAATTTGCATCAGTCGCTTCACAATTGGTGCCGCTACTAACAGCACCATCATCATCCTCATTGCCATTCCTTCTGCATTCTATTTTATTAACAATAACATCGGCTGCGTTACTGTTATTTATGCTGTTACTACGGCTACTTTTACCAAGGACATTAGAACCACTGTTTGCAATATCAGAAGTTTTGATGATTTCTTCAACAATTTTCAAATTTTTATTTATGCTGCAGAGATTGTTAGAATTTTGAGTAGGGTTGTCGTCGCTGTTATTACCACTACTACTTACGCTATTGTTCGAGTTGCTATTGACACTAACACTGTTTGAAGATTGAAAGCACTCGAGTCTGTGGCGGACAGTTTTCAGTTTGCTGATACATTCTGCCATCTTTTCGACGACAGGTGGCGAGTCGGTCCCGGTGGAGGCGTCGTGGTGTGTTGGCGCAGTAGTGTTTGTGCCTATTTCAACGTAAAGCTTTGATGCGTTGTCCAGTTTTTGTCGTTGTTCGCGAAATTGTTGCTGGTGTTGTACAGCCAATTGCAGTTGCTCATTTTGATGCGACGATTGTTTTTGCTGCTGATTAGGCTGTTGTAGGATATCTAGCGAGTTGTCGACGTTGTCGTTCATATTTGTGGTAAGCTTGCAATCATTACTGTTAATGGTATTTATGTTGGTATTGACATTTCCTTGAACAGACATCAACTGTTGTTGCCTTTGCAAATTGTTTGACAAAAACGGGTGAACGATAGCCGAGCTTCTGTTGTTTATATAATGAGTGACAGATTTCTGAGCTCTTAACAAACTCTTTTTATTAAGCTGCTCGGATTGACCTAACTCAAAGCTGTGAAGTTTTGTAAAATTTGATTTTTTCTTAAAGTTGTTGAAACCATCATCACTGACGTAATTACCTGAAACATCAAAAACAACGTTGCTAAGGCTTTCGACGTTTTCAGTTTGGCGTTCACTACATTGATTATGTTCTTCGCTTTCTTCATCAATGTTTTCGTTTATGGAACTAAGAGATGAGATTGAGTCTGAAATAATTTTTTTTGGTTTTCCGATTATACCAGCTCTACAAAAAACATCCACTGGCGCTTTTTTTTCAACTAACCCGTTGAACATGGTTGTTTTATCACATTTTATGAATTTAATCGGCGAACTTGCTCGGTCCGTGGTATCAAGTTTAAATTCTTTATTATTTTTTGAGTGGCAATTGAATTCTGTTTTCTCTAAAAGGTTTAGTTTTTCTTTAAAAATTTGTGCTTTGTTATCCGGCATAAAATTTGTCATCGTACCTCTGCTTATAGACATTTGCTTGGGGGTTTTTGACTCTAAGAAATCCCTGTAAGCCGATGAAACGTTAGTAGTGGTTGTTGTGGTTGATTTGTCAGCCACAATTGTAGTTGCAGTTGAAGTTCCTTTATTTACATATTGAACAGAAGAAGGTAGTGTTAAAGTGGATTTGTTTTCAAAAAATACTTTTTCTGTCATTGTACCAGCTTCCATTTTTTCAATTTCTACATTTTGATTTTCGATTAATTTTTCTAAACATTCTTTGCTGTTTTCAACTTTTGAAATGACCGTTGAGTTTTGATTGAGTGACTGTTGCAATTTCAAGTTTCCGTCAATTTCCCAAAGCTGACTTTTTTCATTTTCATCTGAGGATGAAGACGACGACGAAGATGACGGTGATGAAGGAAGATGTGAATGCGATTGATTGCATGTTTCCAATTCTGAAATACTCTTCAAAGATTCTAAAGGAGTTGTATCCACGTTGTCTTCGTCAACGATTTCCTCTTCATTGGAACTATTAATACTATCAACAACTTTTTTGTCTAAATGTTTGTTTTCGAATTTTTGTTGTTCAGCACGGGAATTAGAAATAATATCACTATGAATGTCACTGTCCTCATTGTCAACGTCGTCTTCATTGTCTTCATTATCAAAACTACTTTCAAGTATTTTAACAGAGCAGCTCGAGATATCGCTACCTTCGTCGTCGTCGTCACTGCTACTGTTATTTGTGTGGTCGATGAAGTTGTCATTGATAAAACTGTTGATATTTGAGTTGTTGGGGTTGTTCATGTTGATCGTATTGTGGTTCTTACCTATATCCCCGCCGCTTAAGTATTTGTCAGTTTTGTTAGTAAATATTAAACTTTCTCTATAACATGAAATGTTGCCATAATTCTTGTTGCTGATGTTGGCAACTGAGCTGTTGTTAATATTATCGTCAAAACTAACCACATCTTCATTTTCGCTACTGCTCAACGATTCAGTAGATTTGCTTTCATTCTTGTTGTGAAGTAATATAAAATGACCGAAAACAATGTTTTTTGCTGACTTTTTAAATTTGGGAGGTTTCGCAACTAAATTTGGTATTTCTGTGAAACTCCAATTAAGCAAGTCATTCATTTGCTCTTCCAGCTTTCGTTTTGCCAAAAAGAGTTCCACGTTTTTTCCATCAAGCAGACGTTCTGTCAGTTGAAATAATTGGTCCGTAGACGATACAGCCATTTCAAAATGTCGCCTTTTCTTTAAAAATTCAATTACACTTTCATCATTCAGAAATCTTTTCAACTCAATCAATGACTGTTTCTCGCAGTCATTTGCAAATTTTACGATTTCCTCTGCTCTCTCCCGAATGGCAATTTCAGTTTTCAAAAAACATTCTTCAAAATTATTTATTGCATTCAAGTGGTTTTTCATTTGTTCAAATACCGAACGACATTTTGCAACTTTTGACATTAGAAGTGGCAAATTTGTTTTGATAGCGTCACTGAACGTGATGATTTTGTGTGTTTTATGCTCGTAAAATGTGCACATGATGCAAACACAACTGTCGCACGTTTCGCAATAAAATCGAACATTTTCTCGTTGATGTTCGGCACAGCACAGGTCTCCTTTCCTCAATATCTCTACCCTCACCAAACTGTGAGATTGAGTGATCTTCGTTTCCATGTGCACCTTTGCGCAATCATTGCACAGAAGTTTACATGAACAGTCCAAACATTCGACGGTTGCCAGTTTAGGCAAACGATGTTTCGTTTTGGTCCTTGCTGCATTAGGCGATGTTTGATTCTGCTGTTGTTGCTCATTTGCTGCTGCACGCATCAAATCGTTATTAATTTTGTTGTTAGGGTTGACATCATTTTTAAAGACGTCACAAGATTCGACGGGGTCACCATCGTCGGCCCCCTCGTCATCTTTATGACATATCTCACAAATCAACTCCAAACCAGCATCTTCTGAAGCATATTCTTCTTCCTCGTCATCATCATCATCATCCTCATCACCATCTTCATTGTCTTCCTCCTCATCATCGTAGTCTTCATCGTCAACATCACCGTCATCATTTTTCATCCTGAACTTCTCACCCCGTTGATGCTGCTGCTGACGATGACGAAGACGACGAAGATGGCGATGACGAAATTGGTGGTGGTCTCTAAAAATTCGACTGTCGTTTTGGCAGACGCGTCTAATGAGGCGATTGAGGCTGTGGACGAGGGAGCTGTTTGGTAAAACTTTAACTTTGCCCTCCGGTATGTTGGTAGCCGTCGAACACAAAGGACACTTGAGAATATCTCTGTTATAATTGTTGCTGCTACTGACATTTTTGCTGATAGTAATAATATTGCTACCGTCGTTGTGGTTGATCGCCAATAAATTATTCTTCATTTCATCATTATTAAATGAGTCCACAAGTTCTTTGATGGCGAGGCTGCTAATGTTGCAAGGTGGTTGTTCATCTTGAACTTGTGACTTTAGCTCATCTTGCTGTTGTTTGTATTGTTTGAGCAAACATTTTTCGCAGAATGTATGCAAACAATCGAGCGTTTTGGGTTTTACGTAGGACTTGAAGCATACTCTGCAGGTCAATAGTTGGTTGTAGATTTCTTTAATCAACTCAACATCAACATTGTTGCAGTTTATGTTGCCGTTGTTTTCTCCTTTATTGTTTCCAGAAAAACGAGTGTTGTTGTTGTGGTTGTGGTTGCTGTTGTTGTTGTTGTTGCTGTTGTTGTTATCAAGAAATTTATAGTTTTTTCTCGCCAGGAGATTTTGTGTTGTTGTCGACAGATATTTTGTAGCAGCTATAATTGTGGCCGATGACGATGCTGATGATGTATTGGCAGATGATGAAGATGACGATGATAACGATACCAGTAATGACGACGATGACGATAACGTCGTTTTGTGATATGTAGACTGATAACTTGTTGTCGAAACAGCAGGATATAATCTTGAGAATGATTTGGGTATGTTGAGATATGACGAGGAAGGCGATGATGATGGAGTTTTCGTTGCAGGCACATTCAAATTACTGTAGTAACTGTGGTTACTGCTGTTGCTGCTGTAGTAGTCGTCGTAATTGTTATGTTGCATGTGGGAGTTATAACGGTACGATTTCATAGGGTTGGTCACGTTGTTGTTGTTATATGTTGATGTTGCTGATGATGGTGAGTGAGGCACTGGTTTCAAACTAGACCAATGTTTCAGATAATTTGAGTTGAGAGCGGATGACGACGACGACGAAGATGAAGAGGAAGATGAGGAAGGTGATGATAACGCTTGCAGGTAACTTGTTCTGTAACCTGATGCCATTTTATGTTCCTATGCTGAAAATATTTTTTAGTTTTGTTGTTGGCTGAGTCATGGAAGAGTTTGCGTTATATCATCGTGTAAAACGAAATCTTTAAATTTTAAATTCAAGAACAATAGAGATACATCTGGATTTATTGGTTTATAAAAGTTATAATAAACAATTTTAATACTTTGTTATATTTTGGGTAACCAACATTCTAAAATTATTTTCCAAACACTCTAAAATTATTTTTCAAGAAACAATTTCGTAAACATTTGAAAAAAAAACAATAAAAACTACAAATTATGATCATACCTAAATCAGTCAGCACGAATGTTATCACTGAAAAACAAAGAATATTTCTCGAAAGTTTTTCAGCGTATTGCAGGCAGGCAGTTATATTCTTCGCACTACTTGTAGACGCTTTTCTGCAGAAATAAATTACGATTATACAAAACTAAATTAAGATTATACAAAGATAAATTAAGATTATACAAAATTAAAGATTACACACACAATTCAATTAAATATAAACTGTTGCTTAATCGAGAAAAAATAGAAACAATACGCCATTTGATAAGATTAAACTTTAAGAACGGCCCAGTAGTAGTACTAATTAACATCAAGTGTTTGACTCATTCACTGTATGTGTTTGTTTGTATGTTTGTTTGTTTGTATGTATGTTTGTATGTATGTTTGTATGTATGTTTGTTTGTGCATGAGTTAGTCTGCTTCTTTTTAGTCAATTATAAGAACGAGTCAATTAGAAAGATTTTTAAGATCCCATTCGATTGACGTGGTGATGAAGAAGATGATGATTACCTCACAAATTAACGTAAGCTATGATAAAAATAACATAACAAGAGGAAATGACAAAAGTACGGGGGAGAGTAGTCACAAATAAGAAACTGTACATTAATAAAATTAAAATTAAAGGGGTTAATCGAATAGGCAGATACCCACATGTGAAGATTGAAAAACACCTGGCAACGAAACGAAACGAAATTTTATTTGCTTCTCAAAATTGAAAGTTACAACACCGTAGGACGACCACAATAGAATTTACATACAAATTCATCTAATATGGCCACCCAAACAGAAATGTTCTATATTTAAAAACAAAAATGTTCAGCTGCTGGTACAATTAAGATCAATTGACATTGTAAGAGATTAAAAGCAGTTCATCTCGTTATGAGGACATCTTTGGTGTTCATAATAGCCTGCGATCAATCATTATGTCAACCGTGCAAAAGGGCATTGTGTTTATTTTATCACACATTATTATTGAAAAAATTATCTACGAATACTTTTTTCAAATTTATTTCAATTAAATGAATAACGTATTATTACAGTTTTACTTTATTTATATTTGAGTAATAAATTGTCTTATGTTTATTAGATCCGTCATTATTTTTGTAAAACTAATTAATACAATATCTAATTGTGTAGAAGCTACATCAATCAGACTAAATATATGAAGGAAATAAACATGGGTGATAGCAGTGCAAGCCTAAGCCTGCCTGTGCCTATTGATGAGAAATTTGAGTGATTCTTTTTATCAATCATTATTCAAAATCGCGTGCACATGCACATAAGTCTAGGTATTGTATTAATATTAGGAATTTAAATGAGTACAAGTAGAAATATATGCGCGAATTATTTCAAAATGCCGGCAAGTACTTCAAAATATATTCTATTGATTTTTGTATGGTTGCCTAATGGGATTTCCTGTGGTACCTAATTTCTGTGGTGTCGTTTGACGTCCAGTTTGTGATATGATGTCCACTGGCAAATGTCTGAAACTGTCGTGATATGTGTATTTATTAATTTTATTTACACGTATATGCTTTTGCGGATGTAAATGTGTGGCTGACCTTTAACCTGAGTTGGGCGGCTTGATGACCTAATGATCAAAGGCGCCTGGCCCTGCTTTGCAGTTTTCGGGTTCGATTACAAACTGAGATCACAGTTTATTCGCATAAGCTGTTGATTGTTGATACCTCTTGGAAATGATTAGGAGAGGGAATGATGACTTCTAGCTTTAGTAACTTCTTCTGAATTAGGGAAGGGTTTGTTTTGATATATGGTAAAATCTATTCAAAATTTTAATTTAAAACTTGTGAACATGTAAACAATGAATAATTTAATGACGCGTGGTTTTTGAGACCAAAAGTATTAAGAAGTAAAATTCAATGAATCTTGTGAATGTCATACCATCAAAAAAATTCAAATTCAATGAATCTTGTGATCGTCATACCATCAACATTGACTTTGGTGATAGCAGAGATGATTAAGATGTTGATGATGACAAATTGCGTTAATGGTAGTTGTGCTAGGCGTAACGGTAATACAAATAATTGCACTTAGAAAGAATTGAAAGAATGCTACATTAAAAGTGGAAATAATTATCTCAAATAAAATCTATAAACATAGCGTAATTAAAATTGCACGCGAACCAAGACAGCAGAATTGATGATGTTAACATTGCTGCTGGGGAATCAATTATTATATGTGGAGTAAGATAGTTTATAACAACAAGATGGTAAACATCTTTTGGTTAACTCAGTTTTTTGGAGGGATATTGCTAACTTTTATTTCCTTATTTATGCATGTGTTATTCCTTCTTATTATTATTATTATTTCTTATTGTTGTTTAAAATACTCTTTTGTGTTATTCATAATGCTCGTTTTTATTATTCTTATGACGTCTCAGCTATCGGTTTTCAACCATAAAAACATTCAAAATTTTATGGCTATAACAACATTTCTTGACTTTGTCAAAAATTGACGTTTAAAGTCCTTGTAACATAACAGACGAAACTAACCCTACAATTCGTGTTTTTATACATTAAGCATTCGCCAAATATAGATAATAATAAAAAGTAAGATTAGATAATAATTATAAAATAATTTTGTTAATAATAATAGTCTTGTTAAATAATAAAAATTACTAATAGTATCTTTTTTATAAATGGGCAGAAAAGCATCGCCAGAGTAAATAAAAGTGATGCTGATTGGAGACGAGTGTACTAAAATTATTTTCTATCATGTGCATCTGTTCAATGTATTGTAATTACACAGTTATATATATATATATTTTGATAATTTTAACTTTAAAAATTGAAATAGACTCTAATCTTGTTTGTTTGTGTATATATATATATATATATATATATATATATATATTTGTGTGTGTGTGTTTCGTATGCGTGTTTGTGCATGTGCGAATTTATGTATGCGTGTCTGTGTAAGTGTCTATGTTTGTGTGTGTTTGTGTGTGTGTGTGTGTGTATCTCTGTGATATAAAATACAGTTATTATTTTATCGCTAATAAACAATTCTTACTTTTCAAGCAGTTTTCGCCTTAATTACAGTTATAAACATTGCGATTATCAGTGCTGCAGTGCTATAGCCATCAGAATTGCTCCGAATTATATATATATATCACCATTTTATGTCGTAATATTGAGTCGTTATTATTACGAACATTATTACTATTATTGTTATTTTTTATTCTTATTATGTTTTAATTATTTTTCAACATGCCGATATTAAAGTTATTCAAGAAAGTCTAACTACTACGCCAACAATATGAAAAGAACGAGACAAAAGAGGCCACATAGTATATCAAACAGTAGAAATAAAGATGAATACCAACACAAATAAATCAGTGAGCCGATGATGATAACAAACATTAACCAGGTGTTTTTCTGGTAAATGTCAGAAATTCAGGATGAAAAAATAATTAAAAAGACGAGCTGATTGAGTAAATTAATAGCAAAATAGAAAAAAGCTATTGATATAGCATCTAAAAACTATATTTTCTTCACAAATTAAACGCAAATGTAGTTAGCGTGACTTTTTAAATGATATCACATATGCAAACTAAGCAGTGATGAATTTATTACACATAAAAGGGCTTTGAAAGAGTTGTAGGAAAAAAAATTATATTATAGTAAAATTATGAAAATATATATGCAACACATAAGTACAAACCTGTAGAACTAGTACTTTCTTACATTGAGAAACACACTCAAACAGAACTAACAATTAATTTTGTTACAATTCAACTATTTTAAAAGTAGATAATCAATAACATATAAATAGAATTTTTTAGATTTCTTGGTATGTGTTTATAAAAATGATACTTAATGATACACGATATCTAAGATACACGATTATATCCCGTAGGCAGTGGTAAAAAATACACACACGCGGTATGCAATACAACTAACTTGACGCAACTTCGTTTGTATGCAGCTCCGTTACTTACCTACTAACGCCTTACCAGAGTAATTATAAAGTGTAGAATAGCGCTTGTAAACGTGGAAGTTATAATTAGTTATAATTAGTGACGTTATTATTGTTGTCGTAGCAATCAAACAAATAGACTCCAACATTTCTTCGGAAATGATTAATTCATTCTATGTTGTTCCATGCTATGTAAGGTGGTGATACAATTGTATGATGTTGTTCTACGTTAATAGCCGATCGTGTTTGAAACGCAGAAAAACGGCCAACTATTTTTCTTAATGTTCGATCACGTGTAAATGAATAATAGAAAAAATTAAATGTTAATTTAGCAAATTTTCAACGAAAGCTACACAAAACATTTCATCGTTCTTATCAGAAAATCTCACTAAAACATATTTTTTGCTTGTTAAACATTGAAGATATATATATATATATATATATATATATATATATTATTAATATATACATATATATATATATATATAACTTTCGCAGTTTTTTCTGAAAAAAACATCACAATTTGAATTTGTAATTCTTAACAAAATATTCAGCTGTGTTTGTACGACTAATTAAACAACACCAGCATATAGAAAAAGATTGTAATATATTAATTAATTTGTGGAGTTTTTAAATCACATTGTGTCCTAATACAAAAATTAAAAAATGCACACTTGTTTTAAATTAAACACAAAAACACATTAAATATAAATTTCAATTTTTCATCATTATTATTAATATTATATTTACATATATTTATATAACGATT